TTCTTCTCAAGCGATGTAAAAGCAATTTTAGGTGTTTCTATGTTCTAAGTTTGTATGCGTCGTCTTTCTATTATAAAAGTTAAGTTATGTTTCGTTTAATTGTTGTATTTTGTCAAAGTGTGGTATTTTGGAAGGATGTCCTAGTTTGTATGTAATTTTACGATCTTTTTGATTGCATCACTCACCCTCTGCTGGAGTTCCACGGGAGTGCTGTCGAGGGTCATTCAAAGGTGTAGAAGATGTACAAGAATTTGATAGTGGAGTTGTATTGGAAGGGGATGCATAAGGATGTGGAGGAGATGGTGGCTAGATGGGAGGTGTCCCAAAGGAGCAAATACATGGTCATGGCTCCGGGAGAGTTGTTGTAACATCTAGCTCTTTCAGATAGATTATGGGAGCAAGTCACTATTGATTTTGTAGATGGGCTACCCAGGTCTGAGGGGTTTATAATGATTTTGGTAGTATTTGACAGATTGAGCAAGAATGCTCATTTTATTCCCCTATGACATTTGTACATGACAGTGAAAGTGGCAGCGACATTTATCAGAGAGGTGGTCAGATTGCATGAGATACCAGAATCTATAGTGTTCAACCGAGATAAGATATTCCTCAGTAATTTTTGGAGGGAGTTGTTCAGGATGCATGTGACAATATTGAAGAGGAGCATTGTTTACGACCCCCAGACAGACTGGCAGACATACGGAGGCACCTTGGTTGTGGGCCAAGTGGTTGGTATGGGCGGAGTACTGGTACAATATTTCATATCATTCGGCTTCTTGGATGACTCCTTTCAAACTGTTATATGTAAGCACCCCAATTTTATCAGTTGAACAATACTTGAAGGAGAGGGATAGGGTGTTGGCTGAATTAAAAAAGGCGTTTGTTGAGGGCTCAACAAATCATGGAGAAATAGTTTGACATAGCCTTTTCTGGGTTGGCGGGGTGACCCAGTCCTGACCCGTTTTTTCAAACGGATTGGAAATCAAAACCCAAACCTGAGGGTCGACCGAAATTAGATTTTTCTGGCTGAGTTTGGGTTGGGTTTTCTGGTCGTTTCATAAATTGACACCCCAAGGCATCCAGTTCAGAGTTACTCGTGACGACAAGAGTTGGAGGTGTTATGGGAACCATTGGAGGTAAAAGGGGTACGACAAGGAGAGGGAGGGATGAGGGAAATGCTAATAAAATGGAAGAACCCATCCGACTATGACGCCACATGGGAGTTGTATGAGAGGATGAAGCAACAATTTCTATCTTTTCACCTTGAGAACAAGTTTGTTCTTTGGGAGGGGGGTATTGATAGATTGGTCCCTCTTGAACCGGTCAAGCGGGTCCCTCTTGGATTGGTGATGGTTTATAGTAGACAGAATTCCCACCTGCATTAAGATCCTGTCGTTAAACCTGAAAATAATGATCGTAGGGCTTCGCACGCATTTTGATGCGTTGCAACGAGATTTAAGTGAAAAATTCAAAGTTAACGGATTTCGACGGAAATATTTTTATAAAATCTACGCAAAATTTTGAACGATTTGGTATCAAACCTATAGTTAATCTTGTTAAATTTTGGATATAAAATTTTTAGAAGTTTAAAAATACCCAAACTATCCCTAATTGTTTTTAAAGATGAAATGTTTTAAGTGATAGCATAGCAGTCTTTTGGCAATACCTATCTTCCTAAATAATGAAAACCGAACCCCCTACCCTCATCTTTCATTCAGCCAAACAGAGAGGGAGCGGACAGACCGAGCGAAAGAAGGGTGCACGGGACAAGGGCGACGGCGGCTTCGACGACGATTTTTCAGCGAGGAAATTTAAGGAAGTCGTAGAGGAGACTAAGGGGAAGAAGAAGGTATGTTTAATTTAACCATTTCCTCTCTCATTCTCAAGATATTTGGAAAGGAGGTTTTTCCAAAAAATGATTTTTCTTTCAAAATTTCTTTACAAAATCAATAGGGAAGGTTTAGGGAGATGTTTTGACAGGGAAAATGAATTTTCTCTAAATTATTTTGAGATTTGAAAATTAGGGTTTTTGCCTAAAATTGAAATTTCTTAAGACACTTTTGCAAAAATGATTTTAATGGGTATTAGGAATGTTTTTAAATCAAAATTTTGAATTTTCTTAAGAATTTGCATTTTTCATAATTTTCTAAATTAAATAAATTCGAAAATAATTAAGGTAATTATTAAAATAGGTTTAGAAAAAATTTTGGCATATTGATTTGATGAAATTGATGTTTTAGGGTTTCTAAAAATTAGGAATTTTAATAAATTCGAAAATTTAAATTACATTATGTTAATATCAATAAGTGTTGTAAGGAACAAATAACGAGAAGCTAAGAGTTTAGACAATTTGAAATTTGATTAAAACTTTAAGGAAGAATTATAGATTGACACTTCTTTATATATAATTGTTAGGCTATGATCATTAAGGGAAGCGAAGCGTGTCAAAGCGACACTTTAATGATGTGCTGTGCTTGTATTAAGGTCGGTACTCATATCTATCATAAAAATTTCATATATTGTTTAGCTATTTTTATTTAATTGCAAATGTTTAAAGTTTTAACGTTCAAATGGTTTATGAATTCTTATTTTGCAACATCATGTTAGTAGAATCTCTTTATTTCAAGATGTTAGTAAACTTTTCATGTTATTGTTTAATTTGTGATTTTTATGTTTTAAGCAAATGATTTATGGATCATCATTATTTTTCATTAAGTATATGGTTGACTGAAAAATAGATATTAAACTGTGCATGTTGATGCGGAGTGTCCAAATGGTAAAGGGGTTCGTCAGAGCCATTTGGTAAAGGAGACTCATCAAAGCTAATGGTAAATGAATGACCAAGTAAATGAAAATGTGTATCTGATTAGTATAAACTCTATGTACACCTCTGAGACGGGTGGTATAGTAAATATTACGCATATTATGATTCATATATGTTTTCTATGCAAAATGAAAGTTTATGTTTGAGGAAAGAATATGAAAATGCTTCTTATGCAGAAATAGTTTTGAAATTATGTAATATTGATCGTCGTTTAAAGTTTTCATATGGAAAAAATATTTTATTTTGGTTTTATGTAAATTTTTATGAAAAATATGAATTATTTGCTGAGCGAGTAAGCTCACTCTTGGTTGTGGGATTCTTTTTCAGGAGAACCATCTGGGAAGTGATGGGAACGAAACTACAGTACACCAACCGTCGTAGAGGGCCTCAAGAAGAAATGTTTTATGTTTTCTGTTATGTGTATGAGTCAGTGGATTGTAATGAGTAGTCTATTAGAGTTTATGTTTATGTTTATGTCTATTTTTTTAGTGGTTGTAGTTTAGAAGAAATTATTGGAAAACTTTCAGTTTGATGTTTTTGTGGCTCTTTCTTACTTTGTATGGATGATGATTAAGTTTATGTCCTTTTATTAAAACTGGATGAAATTGTTCTGATTTTTATGTTATATGTGTTTTCCGTACGACTTTCTGTTATTGCCCTGTTAATTCGGACTAGTCGGGCCGGGTCGTGACACCTGCCCTCTTTGGGGTAAGGCCCAATGGGATAATTCAAAGAGAGATGGGGGCTGTTTTGGGATTTGCCTTATTATTGTATGCTTTATGTAGGTGGTTTACCCTAGGGTTTAATTTTTCATTCTGGATTTTGCTGAATTTAATCTTGTTTAAGTTGTGAGGCTCTAGCCAACGGCTAGGGAATTGGGTGAGCCGGATCTTCATCTCTAATTGAAGATCCAATGGTATCTTGTATTTTTCTTCATAGTTCTTTCAATAAAAAAGTGTTCTTGAGTGTTCTTCCTAAATTTCTTGTACCTTTATCTGATTTTGCTGAAATTGCATCCACTTCCTATCAAAATGCGATAGAGAATTATGGGAATGTAATAAAGAACCATGAGAAGGATCTTTTAGCATATGATCTGTTTATTGCTTATAAATCGAAATGTGTATAAAATGCGTGCTGAAGTTGTTAAAGATTTGTTGATGTATCAATGACCAATAATAGTGGTAGTGGAATGATCAAAGTTTTACTAATCATAATAAGTTTATATCAACGGTCAATCAAAATTCCGTATTTTTTATGTTAGTGTTGAGATACTCCAAAATTTGTAAAATACGATTCATTAGTGTTAGATTGTTTGCAGATGACATGGCATGTGGTTTAAGTTGATCATAAATTTTAAATGATTAATCAAACTTATTGGAGGATTTAGGCTCGATAGGCTTATATATATTCTGTTTATTGTACAGAAAATTATGGTATAAAGAGTGTAAATTTTAGAATTAAAGCTGGGTTTTTTATTGAGAAATTCTTCACGAGTAGTAAACGGTAAAAAGAATGCCATAGAGGTTTAAAGATAAGTTTTGCAAATTGGTGTAAGGACAGGACCAAATATGTTGTGTGGATTCACATGTTGCATGACACAAAAAATCAGTGAAAATTAAATGTGGTAGAAATGAGAATATTAAAATGGATGTATGGTACAATTAAGAAGGATAGAATGTAAAATGATTGGTATTAGAATGGTGGTGGGAGTTGCCAGGTTGATTTTAGGGCTGTTGAAACTAGACAAAGAAGAACATAAGCTTTGTCTGGCTGGTAGACATAATCAATTTGAAAGATATGGGAGGAATGGTAGATCAGAAGCAATTTGGCTTCTTGTAGATATAGACTTGCAAATCTAAAGTTAATGCTGCTTGTGGCTGGAGAACAAAGTGAATTAAGAAGGAACCACAAGTCGACCCAAAAAATTGAGGTAATTCTAATCACCTTTAATCACCATTTATATTGACCAATTTCCATTCTTTTTGATATACTAATATTTTATGTAAATAACCTTGGAAAACTCAATGTTATCGTTCACATTATATTGTTTTATTATAGTTTATTGAAGTTTGATCCTGAGCCATAGTTTTTTGTTATCTATTTAGCCTACAATATTATTTTAATTTTTGAAGTTGTAGTTGTTTTTATTAACTTCCATTTTGATTTTTATTGGTAGTTTTACTCCAAGTTCTTTTTGTGGTCATAATTTTTGAGAATCAGTTGCTTTGCCCACACGCTTTTTGTCCTGTGTAAGTTACTGTGTGATTTTTTCCTTCAGATTTTCATTTTAAAAATATCTATAAAATTGAATATTACAATTATTTTTGCAGATTGAGTATCAATATATGGTTTATTTAGTCTTTTGATATGGTTGAGATACTTGCTTGCAGATGCGTTGATGCAAAGCATGAAGAATATTTTTGCACAATCTTGAAGAATATCTCTCCAAATGCTGAAAAATTCCATTTTTCCTCTTTTTTGGAGGAGTTATGCATGGAACTTGGAGGAATTTCCAAATTTCTTAATTTCTTCTGCTACTTTGTGAACTCCCCTTCTTATTTCTATGGTGTCATACACCTTTCTTTTTATTCTGTAATTTGCTAGTCTGGTTGTTTTTTCTTTTCTTTATAAAATTATGTATTAAATGATATGTGATCTTTATGTTGCTTCCCATGATTTGAATGAGGTGTATTTACATTCTCATTGTTGACAATTTTAATGTTTTGGTTTTTCCCATTCCTATTTTGTTTTGAATTTATTGTTTTTATACAATTTGTTGTTTAAATCATTGTTTATATTTTGATGTGTTTTCAAAGTGACTTGTGCATGTTGCGCGGGTAGGAAAGTTTATGGTTATATTAACTTAGGAACTTCAAATACACAATAAAAGATAGGATATTGAAAAAACCTTAAGGTTAATGAATCTGGGGATTGGCCTCAATGTAATAATCTATTGATTGTAGAAGGTTATATCAACGTTTAATATTGCGCAATTAGCTATTGTGGCATTTTCTATCTATGGGCAAGGCATAAGTGTTAGGCTGACTGAATCGGTCCATCCTGGACCAGTTCAATGCTATAAAGGCGGGTCAATGGGGGGTGAAACCAGGGAGGGAGAGAGAGAGAGAGAGAGAGAGAGAGAGAGCTAGTGTGGTGGGGCCTACGCACTAATTAAGCTTTGTATTGGAGGGAAAAATTGAATTAGGGGCTGTGTAGGGATTATGTAGTTTTTCTTTTGTTTTAATTTCCTTTTTCTTGCTAGGGTGAGGTCATCTTGAATTTGGAAGTTGAATTTGAGATCTAGGTTTTGCTTTTGGGCTCTAGGCTTTGGCTAAAGGTTTGGAGAGTAGAATCTTTCTCTCGAATTGCTGATTCTTGTATCGGTTTATTGTTTCCTTGTTCTATTATTAGAATTGAAGTGATTATTTCTCTTATTTCTATACTAATCTTGAAAAATCTGCCCTGTTTTGCTGAATTTTTTTGAAATTGAGCAAATTTCTGCATTATCACTGGCTGTTTTTCTATCAAATTTGTATCAAAGCATGTCTATCTATTAGAGGTGAAATTAGTGGATACTGGGGGCTACAGGGTGATGATGGGTACGTGAAAGGTGGAGATAGGTAGAGGAGTATTTATGAGAGTAATGTTGACTATTCAGGGGATCCAGGTGAGGGAGGACTTTCTCCCATCGGAGTTGGGGAGCACTGATGTCATCATGAGGATGAAGTGGCTACAGACCTTAGGGGATACCAAGGTCAATTGGGGAGCACAAGGATGGAGCTGGTGGTAGGGGAAGGAGGATGGTGATTCAGGGCAATGTCGGGCTATCCATGGCTGGGGTATCTCTTAAATCTCTGATCAGGACCATACAGGAGGTGGGAGGAGGATTTTTGGAGTTGTAGCGCTTGGAAGGGGTAAGAGTGGAGGATGAGGGAGACATTCCTACTTCAGTTCAGCCTCTCATACAAAAGTTTAGTGAGGTTTTTCAACCTCCCTAGCGCCTACCTCCATACTATTACCTTGAAGGAAGGGGTGTCATAGATCAATGTTCGGCCGTACCGCTATCCCCATATTAAAAAGAATGAGATTGAAAAGTTGATCCCTGAGATGTTTGGGGCGGGGATCATCAGGCCAAGTGTGAGTCCTTTCTCTAGTTCAGTCTTACTGGTCAATAAGAAGGATGGGAGCTGGAGGTTTTATGTGGATTACAGAGCTTTGAACAAGGGGACAATATCAGATAAGTTCCCTATTCCTATGATTGATGAGCTCTTGGATGAGTTGTACATAGTAGTAGTGTTTTTCAAGTTTGATTTGAAGTCATGTTATCATCAAATCAGAATGGAGGCAGATGATCAGAAGACGAATTTAGGACACACGAGGGGCACTACGAGTTTCTAGTGATGTTGTTTGGGCTTACTAACACCCATGCTACTTTTCAGTCCTTAATGAACAGGGTGTTCCAGCCGTATCTCTAGAACTTTGTTTTGGTTTTCTTTGATGGCATACTGGTGTATAGCAAGACTGAAGAGGAGCATCTGGAGCACTTGAGGGTGGTTTTAGGAAATCTAGCTAAGGGCCAACCTAAAAATGTGCAGTTTCGCACAGGCTACTATGGATTACTTGGGGCATGTGGTATCCTAGGAGGGAGTGGCGGCTGATCAAATTAAAATTGAGGCAATGCAGAAGTGGCTTCTACCTAGGAACCTAAGGGAGTTTAGGGTTCTCCTAGGATTAATTGGTTACTATTGGAGATTTGTGAGAGGATACTGTACCATAGCTTGGCCCTTGACCGAGCAACTAAAAAAGGATAGCTTCTTGTGGGGAGAGGCATCGGCCCATGCTTTTGAGAGACTGAAGAAAGCCATTACTATAGTTCCAGTTTTAGCTCTCTCAAATTTTAGTTAGATTTTTGTAGTGGAGACCAATGCATCCAGTTCTGGGTTGGGGGCCATACTCATACAAAATCACAAATCTATAGTTACTACAGTCAAGTACCGTTAGCCAGAGCTAGGCTGAAGTCAGTATGTGAGAGGGAACTGATGGCCTATGTGTTGACTATTCAAAAGTGGTGCCCTTATTTGCCGGGTCAACATTTCATTGTCATGACATATCAGAGAAGCTTAAAATACTTATTAGAACAAATGATGGTGACTAAGGAGCATTAGAGGTGTTTGTCCAAACTGCTAGGCTATTATTTTGAGATCTAATACAGGCCAGGTTTGGAAAATAAGGCGACTGATGGCTTATCAAGATTATTGGGGAGCTCTAGGAGATGGCAATTTCAGTACCATTGATGATAGATTGGGGGGCTATCAAAGAAGAGAGTATGCAGTATGAGGAGTTGAGGAAGATTAAAGAGGATTTGATGAAAGATACAAGTAGTCATCCAGGGTACTCACTTGAGGGGGAGAGACTCTTACATCAAGGAAGGTTTGTGATGCCACAAACTTCCATCCATAGTCCCCACCTATTGTAGGAGTTCCATGGGAGCGTAGTTGGAGGCTATTCCGGTGTACATAAGACATACAGGAGACTAGCTGCTGAGTTATACTGGAAGGGGAAGCATAAGGATCTGGAGGAGATGTTGGCGAGGTGTGAGGTGTGCAAGAGGAACAATTACATGGCTATGGCTCCAGGGGGGTTACTACAACCCTTAGCACTTCCAAACAAGGTATGGGAGGAAGTGTCCATGAAATTTATAGGTGGCCTACCACGATCGAAGGGATTCACAATCATTTTGGTGGTGGTGGATAGGCTAAGTAAGTACGCACATTTCATTCCCTTACGACACCCCTACATCGCAGTGACAGTGGCAACAACATTCATCAGGGAGGTGGTTATATTGCATGGGATTTCAGAGTCGATAGTTTCTGACCGAGACAAGGTGTTTCTCAGCCAGTTTTGGAGGGAGCTGTTCATGTTACATGTAACAGTTCTTAAGAGAAGCACTGCTTACCACCCACAGACGGACAAATAAATGGAGGTAGTCAACAAAAGCTTTGGAGACTTACTTGAGATGCTTTGCTTCTGAAACACCACGAATGATGACCAAGTGGTTAGCATGGGCTGAATATTGGTATAATACCTCGTACCACTCTACTTCTCAGATGACCTCTTTCAAGGTACTGTATAGAAGGGACCCCCCACACTTAGTGCACTTTGGGAAAGAAAGCACACCAGTTTCCTCAGTAGAGTAATATTTGAAGGAATGGGATAGAGTGTTGGAGGAGTTGAAGAAATATCTATTGAGGGTACAACGGATCATGAAGAAGCAGACGTATGCATGTAGGAGTGACATTCAATTTGAAGTTAGGGAGAATGTGTTCTTAAAACTACAGCCTTACATATAGAGGACAATTAACAACAGGAGAAACGATAAATTGTCCCCGAGTTACTTTGTCCCCTACGAGATATTGGACAAGATTGGAGCAGTGGCGTACCGTTTGAAGTTACCCCCATCCGCTATCATAGACCCAATCTTCCATTGTCACAATTGAGGAGAGCTCTTTGGGAGCATGCAGTTAGTGCAGATTTACCAGCAACTTTGATAGAGGAATTGGAAGTGGTTTTAGAACCACTGGAGTTAAAAGGGGTGAGATCAAATAAAGAGGGGAACAAAGAAGTGCTTATTAAATGGAGTGAACTTCCCAACTTCGACGCTACTTGGGAATCATATGAGAGGGTGAAGCATCAATTTTCGCCATTTCACCTTGAGGACAAGGTGAGTCTTTGGGAGGGGGGTATGTTAAGCTGGCCCAAGGACCGATTCAATGCTATAAATGGCGGGCTCCATGGGCGGGCTAAGGGGGGCCTAAACTAGGGAGAGTTTGGGGGTAGTGTGGTGTGGCCTACTCACTAATTAAGCTTTGTATTTGAGGGAAAACTTGAATTAGGGGCTGTTTAGGGATTATATAATTTTCCTTAAATCACAAATTGCACTAAATCAAAGTGTCATGAAAACATCATAAGAAGATAAGATATAAAAGTATGAATTAATAGCATAACAATTCAAAATATGTAACTCAATAAATTTATATTCCCCACTCATATTGTTCAACATCCAAATAAGAAGGTAAGAAGTAAACTAACCAACCATTAAGATTATAATTTTAAATATCATAGGTGTCATCATTATAATCAATTGCTTTCTCATCTTCCTCATTTCGAGTTGTATCGATATTTGTACTATATACTTCCTCTTCTTTGATCTTATTCATCTTATTATTTCTTAATCACTAATAATCATTTGGAAATAAAAAGTTAATTAAAGTTAAAACAATGACTATTTTGATAGTCACTACTTTAAATACCAAAATTTTTATAGATATGTTTTTTTCTGTCTTGTTAGCTTGTGTTCGACATATATATCTTTGCTTTTATCGTCATTAAAGAAATCAACATTGAGATTTTATTGTTAAAAATTAGATGGTGTAATTTCATTGTCATCATTCATGAATCATTCATCATTTGATGGCATGTTATTACAAAGTAAGAGATCTTTGACATGCTTTAAAGACTTCTTCAAGTTTTTGTCATGAAAGCACTTTTATATGATTGAAATCAAGAGTTTATCCTAAAGTAGTTAAACTTTTTTTTTTCTTTTTAGTATGAACATTTTATTAAACTATGAAGTAACAAATTGACATACATATAAAACAAAAAATTACACAAGACGGAAAAGTGAGAAGTGATAAATTACGTGAGATAGAATTAAAATCCATATATTACAAGAGAAAATT